TTTAAATAGGAAGTTCAGGAAAGACGCAGGCGAATCTGGGACCCCGAAGTCAGGCCACGTGGTGTAATGGAAATGGTAGATCTCTCGCTTCTCTCCAGTCTGAGAATAAGACAACATAAAGGACTTAAAGGTGCATTGAGTAGCTTTTCTGGTGGAGTGTCTAACAAATGGTTTTCATGGAGATGTTACTGTTTTGTCTGGGATGCTTCACACTATGGCAATTAACTTTTCTATCTTCATGTAGACCAAACCAGACCAAGTTACAGGTCAGATCTGTGGAGAGGCAACCCCACTCTGTTTTTCTAGGTATTTTTGAGCTATAGAACCACCTTTAATTGAATAAAAGTAAGGTAGAGGCAATCCAGGCAGAGCAGAGACCTATCCATAGAAACAAGCAGGTGATGGACCCCTAACATACACATACATAGTGCACCTTTAAGCTGAAAATGTTTTGTTGAGACTATCGGCAGATACACCAAACCAATATTAAAATAATTACACAATATGGGGCCCAAAAGAGAGAACAGTGAACCATTTGTTTAGACTATAAGAGAACTGAGTCATGTTTTCATCTTTGTTTTGTGTTAAAGGCAAAAAACCACTATTGGGATATGTTCCTCCTAAACAAAACCACACGCGCGCACACGCGCACACACACACACACACACACACACACACTGAACAAAAAAAAACTATAACTGCTTTTTTTTTTTAATACTAGTGGTTAACAAGTTGCCAGGAATTGTCCAGCAGCCTTACCGCAATATTTTGAAGCTCCAAAACTCTAGTTGTGTAATATGATTTGGGCTCTTCTGACAACAGTGTGACTAAAAACCGCGTATCCCTGAACGCCATTTCCCTCTCTTCAGCTGAAGGCCAGTACTGTGCACACTTTTCCTGTTAAGCACAAGGAAAATATCAATGGTTTACTAATATTTACTTAATAGATTGGTTAATACAAAATTACAGCAACAGCAAATCTTCTTAATGAAAAGTAAAATAGCCATATTGCAGCTAAATTATCTGTAATGGCAAAGTTAATAAGGTATAAACGTTTTTTTTGTTGTTTTTTTTTTAAATGTAGAATTTTCAAAAAGTTGGCAGAATAAACCCTAATAACATTGTTAATCATTGTATCATGCTACACTGCTGATTTCTGAAAAATATTGAAATTTCTTTTTCCTATAATTAACTGTTCAGTTCCAGGCACTGACAAACTAATCTCATGAAACTGATGGATTTAAATACAGCAGTCCCACTAAAGTCAAACATTTTCAGACTAGGTGTTTCTTATCCCGCAATTTCTGAGAAAACACTGAGGGAAAAGTCATGGCCTAGAAAGATCCAGTCCAGCTGCTCTACGGAGAAAGAGGGATTACAGCTGGTGCGTATGAGAGGGGGTTGTTAATCTCCAAATCACAGGAAAACTGTTTAGCAGCATCCCAGTTTGAGGCACTTCTGTGAATACACTGTCAAAACACCACATTCCGCCTATCCTGCTGATTCTCAGACACATTATCTCACTTGAAGGCAGCCAAACTGTAACAGATGAGGGTTACTGCCATATTGAGCACTCTTGAAGGTTGCACAAAATTTCACCACATCAACAGTAACAATAAATCAAAGAAAGCTGATCATGTTATTTTCAGAATGATTAGTCAATTATTATACAAGTATTATATCTTATCACATAAACAGGCTAATTATGTAAACACACACATCTGTTAATATTACTGAGGGTTCTTATCAGCCACATTTTCTCTTTGTTAAGAGAATGGATGGAAACAACAGAAACAATAGATCAAGAATACTTATAACCTGAGGTCTTACCGAGCCTTTCTCTATGACTCTGTTGAGCATTATGACTGCTTTGGTTTTCTGCTCCCAGATCATCAGCCAGAAATGACCACAGGTATTTCTGAGGGGTCCCTGAAAACAAGAACAAAAATGTGCGATCATTGTCATAAACAAGAAAAGGGTGCATAAAAGTAAAAAAAAAAGTTAAAGAATTAAATTAAAATTAAACAGCATAGTTTATGAAAAACATAAGGTTTGAATGTCTTGTGTAATGATGTTTGACATTTTGACTTCTGTATTACTTCATTTTCTTAACTGTGCTTAATATTGCTTCACTAATGCCCACGATTATAACCCCTTTCTCACCTGCGTCAGAATATAACTTCTTTGAGCTTCATCCATCACTACCAGACTTGCATTAATGTAGTCATTTTCTGTACTCTCCAGCTTCACTCGACTGTGGTCAACTGTGAATAATGAGTAACAGTATTAGAAATGTGTGGGCTTCACTTTATAGCAGGCCCCAGAAGAGTAGGTGCACAAAGAAAGTTAAATTACCACAGAATTTTTACTTACAGGGACTGACATCTCTGTATCTGTTGCGGTTGCGATTCTCTGGATACTTTGCCACTTTGTAGGGGCACTCGTGAGATTGATTTCTAATGTCCTGAAAACCAATAAAAAATAATAGATTTAAAATGACGCTTATCCATAAATTATATCACAAACTTAGATGGATAACACCTACGTGGGCAAAACATCACATTTGTATAAAATAAAAAAGAAAATAGTTAGAATTTGTAAACACGTGAAATTTAGGGTTCGACTTTAATATTTGGTGATATTAGTAACACAACAGATCCACACAGTTTACCAACATGAAAACAAAGTGTAGGGCGCTCAAATGCTGGCTTGCTAAAATAAATACGCGCTTTACTGGGTGATCGTTAGCAATGTGCTAACTATGCTAAAGACTTACTAGATATAGTTTCTGCCACCGGCCGTCGGAATCTATGTCTTCAAACTCCTGGTCCATTTCCACGGTGGCGATGTTTGACAAACGGGGTAAGAGCAGCGAGCTGTTATCTACCTCATCACTTTAATAAACCAAAATAAAGCTTTGATCACAGAAGTGTTAGCTCCTTTCGCTAGCGATGTTTGTCCGTTATCTGAGTTGATCCAAAGTGAGGGCTTGTGCGCATGCGCCATCCACAGCACTGGGATTGGCTCAGACTTCTTCTGAATGAATATTTACGAGTTTTTTATTCTTTATCTTTACTGCCTCCCTCTGGTCCACACCATAAAATTCTTAATATCAAGTAAACCAGGGGTGTCGAAACTATGGCCCGGGGGCTAGATCCTTCTGAAGTAAGTACTTTTCACTTCAAATTCAAACTTATTTAAAATGCAACTATCTTAAAATCGTAATGTATTGATCATCTGTCTGCTGTCCTCCACTACAAATATGTTTCTATATGTGGCCCTGGGTGAAAACATTTTGGAAACCCCTGACGCAAACAGTCTATGGATGTAAAGCTCTTTCAGACTTTTCACACCAAGTACCCCAGGAACGATTTGGCTTTCCAATACCACCAGATAAACCGGGTTTATAATAGTACTATAATAGTACTATTATAAACCCGGTTTATAATAGTACTACTATTATAGGTCTAACCAGGCTGAACCAGGTCTAAAATTGGTCTACATCGTTGCTATAATAATACTAACCAAGAAATTATCCAAAGGAGGACCAAATTGTGGATAGAACGGAGCCAAACTTAAGCAAATATTACAATTGTATAGTATCTTACATTTCACCTGGTCAGAGGGACCAGTACAAAAAAGTACTACTATATAATTTTTTTTCTTTTTTTTTTTTTTAAATTACTGTTTAAAAATTCTCCTTGAAAGTTGAAAAAGCTGATAAGCGGGCCAAAGTTCTCTGACAGGTCCCAGTGTTTAGGGGCTGAGAGAGAAGGGTCCATTTGCGGCCTGGGCATTTCCGTAATAGCACGGGAACGCCCATTTGTGTCCGCGACTGGATGATATTGGGCTGAGAAGCCTCTACCTTAAAATTCTATTTGAGTCCGTGTTAATGCACATAAGAGAAATAGCAACAGCCCTCAACCCTTTTTTCATTATGTCTCCAGTGTCATGTGCATTTCTGTTTGCCTTTATTTACATTTGTGCCATTTACACAAAACGTCCACAGTGTGGCGAAATTTCCATTTGTAAACATGAAAAGGAGCCACAGCATTTCACTTTTTCACAAGCTGAAACTCAAACAACTTCCTGTTTGTACAAAAATAAGACAATTATTTTTCTCCTTTTCATTCAACAGATTCCCTCAAAATGTTATGTTCAGTTTGACCAATTTCGTCATTTTTGTGTTGACTCGGGGAGTCACACTTCAAACTTCACTATGGTCAAGACCAAAGAGCTGTCACAGGACATCAGAAACAAAATTGTAGACCTGCAACAGGCTGGGAAGACTGAATCTGCAATAGGTAAGCAGCTTGGTGTGAAGAAATCAACTGTGGGAGCAATTATTAGAAAATGGAAGACATACAAGACCACTGATAATCTCCCTCTATCATGTGGTTCCACGCAAGATCTCACCCCGTGGGGTCACAAACGGTGAGCAGAAATCCCAGAACCACACGGGGGGACCTAGTGAATGACCTGCAGAGAACTGGGACCAA